CCCCTGTGTTGACACAGAGGACATGGCACCCAGCACACGGACAGGGAAGCAAGTGCACAGAGTTGAACCGTCAGGTGAGCACAGGAATTCCTCCTGAGAGTGGTGGGGGCTGGTCCCTCCCCGCACAGCTGCGCCCCGCACAAGGCTGAATGAGATGTCCTTGTGTGTATATACCACATTTTGCTTGTCCATTTACCTGCTGATGGACACTTGGGTTGCCTCCCCCTCTTGGCCACCGTACGTAGGTGTGCAAACACGGGGTCAAGTTCTTGCTTTGGGATTTATGCCCGGAAGTGGGGTTGCCGGGTCACGTGGTGGTTCTAACTCGATGTTTTTGAGGAACCCCCACGCTGGTTGCATAGGGGCCGGGCTACCCACAGTGCACTGTGGTGCAGGTAGCTGCACACCCTTCTTAACACCTGTGTTCTCTTGAGTCTCCCTCGTGGGTGTGCGCTGGCATCTCAGCGGAGTTTGGACTTGCGTCTCCCCGTGGTTATTGATGCCCCTGCTTTATAACACATACAAATATTTTTTCAAGGAAAAAGCGTTCTAAATTAGCACTTTAACATCACTTTCCCCTGCTTTTTTGAGAAAAGGGCCCTAAGTTTTCATTTTGCAAGGAGTTCTGGAAATTCTGTCGCCAGTTCTGCTGGTGCGAGAGGTCTGATCGGGAAAACAGGCTGGGTAATGGCTTAATCTGAGCTTGTGACACTTTGCAAGCAGATTCGATTGCCTGGTGCCCCTGTGTCTGGACCACGAAAATGGACAAAGCAGGCTCAGTGGGAGTTGTCAGAATTCATCTGTAAAGGAAATTTTATTTGCGAGGCGGTGCTGCTTGAAGGATCTGGTGCCTGGTTTCTCTTCGGGGCGGCTTCCAGGCTGCCACCTGTCACCTGGGCAAACGCTGGGCGTGCCCATTAAACCTCTCCTGAGCCTTGATTGGCCATGCAGGAAGGTGGGGGCGGGTCCCAGATGGGCCAGCTTTGTCTTGTCAAGCACTTGCCTCAAGAAGCAGGAGCTGAGGCAGAAGGGAGCTTTATCTTCCAGCAAGGGGGATTGGGCCATTTCTGCAGGCCTGGAAAGTTCTGGGGAATTGGAGGATTCAGGATTCTCCAGTGTATCTGCGCAGATAGAGCTCCATCCCAAGTCTCGAGGTCCCACTCCTTCCCCACCAGGACCCTGACTTTGGCATTGGAGACTTGCCCGGGCTCAGGAGTCATTCCTTGAAGTCCTAGGCTGGGTCCTCAACTTCGGGAAATGAGGGTCTCCTTAGAGACTTCCAAGGAGACGCTCTCATTGTCACATTTTGCTTTAAATTCATGATCGGGTGCCTGTTCCTGTCACTTTCCTTTTTGAAAGCCATAAATGGTCTCTAGCAGTAGGCAACCCATTCCGAAGTCCTTATATTGGGGTGGCCAAAAAATTCATCTGGTTTTTCCTGTAAGATGGCTCTAGGAGCACTTAGATGTCTTTAACATCATTTGAGACAATTTTTGTCAGGTTGTATCGTGACAGCTGTCCTGTCAGTGTGCATTAAGAAAAACAGCAGAATTGGTGAATTTTTTGTGCAGCCATTTTAATACCAAAGCTGGAAGAAAATATGCAACATTTTCAGTGTATTGTGCTTTATTATTTCAAGAAAGGTAAAAACACAACTGAAACGCAACCGCCTTTGTGTAGTGTATGGAGTAGGTGCTGTGATTGACCTAATGTGTCAAAAGTAGTTTGTGAAAATTTTGTGCCAGAGATTGCCGCACGGGTCGGGTAGACCTGGTGAAGTTGACAGTCAAATCGAGACATTAATGGAGAACAGTCAACTTTATACCACGCGGGAGATGGCCATCATACTCAAATATCCAAATCAATAGTTACTGTTGAAAATGAAAAATGTCTATTTTAGGGAAAAAACAGACTTTTCGGTCCACCCAATAACCGCTCTCTCCCACAGTCCTCTCCAAGGCCGGAGCAGGCCTGGGTGCACTCGCTGAGTGGGGAGGAGGCTGAGAGGCTGCAGTACAGCGAGGAAGGGGCAGGAGGCAGGCGAGGAGGTGACAAGCATCAGGTGGGGATACATCACAAGAGACCCGGTAGGCCACTGACAGGGTGTGGCCTTTATTCTAAAGATGGAGAGTCCCTGGTGAGTTTTGAGCAAAGGCATGGATCCCAGCAGGAGAATCATTCCCACCCTCGGGATTTAGCCGGGTTACTGGTGACTGTGGCGAGAGTGAGGTCAGCGGAGTGTTTGCGAGAATGAGCGAAAAACGAAAGACAGCAAGTACCCACATATTTTCCAAGGACTACTGCTGTCCAGAGCAGCCAAGAGAAGGGGGAGGAGCTAACGGAGGACCTTTCTGGTCAACGAGAGACGGCTGGGACATTTCTAGAAGGAAGACACTACAGCTTATTTGTACGTTGCTGGGATGCCCAGGACGTCCCCTCCCGTGCTGTGACAGTGTGCTCCTGTGCCCCACGGGCATCTTTTCGGAATGCTCGGTGAGATCTAGCCCTCTCAGCCAGCCCGTAGGGTCGGCGCCCTGCCCTGGGCCCTGCTCCGAGGTACCTGTGGCCCGTGTACAGACTGGGAACTGAACCGGTGACCTTTCGGCGGCACACTGAGCCACACCAGCCAGGGACCATGTGTCATTTTAAGTAAGCTATGCTTTGAAGTTAAGGCAACAGGTCACGCACAGTGCGTAAGTCGAAGTGTTCAATTTCGTCTCCTAGGAAATAGTCTGTTTCACTGTTTCCTGTGCCCGGGCTACAGATACACACCTGATACGAACACAAGGACGCAACTCTGCAGCGGCGGCGAAAATGGTCCAGAGGCTGGAGAGCAGGGCCCATGACACCCACATTGCTCACCTCCCACTGCACGTCTTATAGCAGCCAAGGGATGCTTAAAGAAAAAACGTGTAGGGTATGAAACCATGGCGTTTACCCAAGGCTTGGCTTCTCTTAAGAGAAGTGCTTGGCTTAAGAGTTTGATTTCTGACTTTTTACTGGCCACAACATCTGATGGATGCCGTTGACTTTGTACCCTGAAAACAGTTAATTGATTTTTGTTATGAGCCTCACCCCATGGAAAGAATGCTCTAAAATCAGAATTTCCCATACTCACTGTTGTAAAAGGCCAAGAGCTGCTATCACGTTAAGTTGTGATGTCTCTGCGGCGGGGACCATGGGTGTCTAGATGACATCCAGGTGCCCCAGTGTCTGTCATTTCCTCCCACGCTCACCTAGCAACAGCCGGGGCTGTGGTACCATGCAGGGGGCAGTGGGGATGCAGACAGGCAGGTGGCTCTCCCTGTCACAGGCTCTCTCTGACTGTGGCTGGGTCGGTCATGCTCTTAATTCCTACGGACTTGTTCCAAGCAGCTTTTCAGAGAAAGGAGCCAGGAGGAAAGGGTTGTGTCCCCTGACCCTATTCTACTTGGTTTCCAGAAAAAGTCAGCGGAGGACCAACCTTGAGGATCCTACATCAGTCTGCGGGATGATTCCATCCGTCTGCACAGGGAAAGCACAGTACACGGTTTGAGGGGGAAGGAGGGCACCTGCCAGTCCTGGGACCCGGTGTCTTCACATGGCTCTGGGGCACCTTCCTGTGTAAACACAGGCACTGCACCGAGCTCCAGAATAAACATCTGACTGCTGATTGGTCCACTCCCTTACTCCTCACTGACAAACTTGACACAGCCCCCAATCACATTTCCACGGGAAGACAAAACTAGACCAACAGAAGAGTCAGTTAGCCTTTACTTAGTAATGCTGACGCTACTTACAATACATCTAAGGGCATTCATTCTCACTGACTTCATTCTTTCCTGACCGCAGCGAACGCGCACAGGGCTGCAGACGAGAGTGAGCAGGCTGATAATGTCGGCAGGGCGTCAGGCACGGGAAAATGTTTATGGGCAATGGGAACATTCGGTTTCTTTTTATTGTTGCCTCCTCAGCCTGCACCCGGGGAATCATTTTCAGGATACCTGCATGCTGTACGGACTTCAGAGATGTCTTAAGTTTTTGCTATAAAATGCCGAGGTTGTAATTTTCAAATGCAGAGGGACTGCACAGGAAGACTGGTAATAATGAGCAATCCACAGGAGAGCTAACCCTAGGCAGGTCTGCATGTAACGTGGATGGATTACTCCCCCTCCACCTACATAACATCCCGCTTCAAGGTGGAACTTGCCTTTAATCAGGACGCCCCCAGGCTGAGCCCTGGCCAGGGAGCTCGGCTGGTTAGAGAGCATCATCCTGACAGGCCAAGGTTGTGGTTTGATCCCTGGTCAGAGCACCCAGAAGCAGCAACCAACGACTGCGTGGATAAGTAGAACGACGGATCAAGGGTTTTTTCTATCTCTCTCCAAAAAAAAAATCACTTAAAAAAACTGCCATGTTTGTAAAATTGGAGGGCAATTTCTAGTGAGCTTTATCAGGGTAGAGGAAGCAATAGACCACAGATATTAAGGAAGAGCTACTTAGAAAGTATTATCCTCCACAGAATTGCGGAATCGGCTTCAGTAATAAGATAAACATGAACCGTGACGAGGAGGGTGCGTTTCAGGCATTATAAAAATAGTGACCTGATTTCACTGGGCACCAACTAGCATTTACAAAGCTACTTGGATTTTTCTGTTGATCTTCGTTGCTGTTAAATAACCATTGTTTTGGTGGTGGTAAAACCCACTTTTCAAGTGCAGGACCATCTGAGCTGAACGAGAAAAAGAATGACTGAGGGCAGGAAGGAAGGTCGGCCTGGCGACACTCTGACTCTGAACAGTGTATTTTCTTCTGCTTTTGACTTTAAGAGGGTCCGTGTCTCCAAGGTTACCACGGTAACATGTCCTAAACACGCCAGCCAGTTCCGGGGTCTCGGGATGAGGTGATAAACCCAACCCACCAGGGGCGAAGCTGTCAGAGTGACATGTCGGCCACGGGGGGGGGGGGGGGGGGGCAGGGCAGTGCATTTAAATGCAGAGAGAACGACAGGTACACAATGCTGTCATATAAATACTTCCTTTATTTGTTTATGGTTAAATTTTTAAAAAATAATTTTATAATTTTTTTGTTTCATTAAAAGTAACATACTTTATTAAAAGAAACAAGGGAAACATGAATTTTTTAAAAAAGAAATAGTCTTCATCTTCACTGACAGGCAAGAAGCCAGATTTCTACATGAGCTAATGAAAAAGGAACCACTGATGAGTCCAGCGCCAACCCCCAGAGAAGGACTTGTTAGGGCTGATCTGTCCATTCAGTTAAGACATTTCCACTGCGGCTCTCCGTTCACTGCTGAAATACTCAAAATGCTCGTTCTCCTGGGCATGCTATTTTGTTGAAAGATTTAGTATTTACTACGTTATTTACATTAATGGACACTTACGAAGAACAGCGAGACCAGAGACAGCACTCACCCCACGAGAGGCTGTTCTCTTCTGAAACCTCCTTCGGGAGCTGTTGAGTTCAGCGATCACACTGAGGCTTTCGTACCTTGCAGGCGTCTTTGAGTATCTCCTGCTCTGCTTCCTCCCTTCAACATTCTTTTCAAACAGAACACTTCTGCTTCCTACTGCTGGTCTGGTCGAATTTTTTTTAAAGGAAGATTCTGTTCGGTATGTTTTGGATTAAAATGACGGAAAAAATAAAGCCTATATAGGATCATCCCCCCCTATAAATACTGGTACTTCTTATAAGCCCTATTTTGAATTCGGAGTTTTATTTACATGCCACGAGGTCCAAGTGTGCGTTTCTGCAGACCCTCCGACTTCAGGACGAGAGCTTCAACACAAGGGGATTTATTTTTACTCTGACTCAGTTGATCCGTCTCAGTTAACGTGTCTCATTGTTACAAAACCAGACTAGATTAACGAAGCCCCGAGCATTTGGGCAGCAACTGATTGACATCCCCAGGCTCCTGACTCGACAGTCACTCCTGTCGGCTGGTACGACCCTTGAAGGTTCAGCACCTGTCTGCAGGGTTCGATCAGATTCTCAACAGGCCATTTTGGTACCGTTTAGCACTTCAGGGACAAGGGCCAGTGACAGTGGAGTTCGGGTGTGAGCCGCCTGTGGATTTCACTTGCTCGGGTTAGGACTGGCCCCTCCTCATTGGAGGCTCAGACATGGACCTTGACTTGTGGCTGGATGACGGACATTTTCAAAACCTACCATGATCTTCTCCAGTGATTTTATTACGCCCAATTTTATGGTGCCACGCCGCTGTGCTTTTCACATTGTTTAAAATCCCCATTTCCACAATTCCAATTCTGAGAAATTACTACGCATTCCCTTATACAGCCAAAAATGGGTTTACTGGAATGTTTTCAGTCGCAGCTGAAGGCAACAGTGCTCACAACACTTGGCTTTTGTTATCCCCATAAACGTGTGGAAACTGCCTGCAAAGCGACTGTAACAATGGGAGAACAATTGCGAACACCGATGGGATGCTACGGGGGCTTCCCCACCGCACCTGAAGGCAAGTGCGCCAGTCCAGTCCCAAGTCCAGGTCCTGTGCCGCCGAAGTCACACAGTCGGAAGCAGCGTTACCCAGACACAGTCAGCAGGCAAGTGTCTAGTTTCAAATTAGATCCGTGGGCACGGCCTTGAACTCGATCACGAAAAGCACGTTTTGCCAGGATGGAAGAAGGTAACGGACACTCCCAGTGCTCCAATCTGAAGTGATACCTGCCCCTTAAAGGTCTCTTGAAGAAGAAGTTTTGAAAGTTATATACATGGGTTTCATTTAAATTATGCAGCCATTTATTATTATTATTCTTGTCCCAGATTTTGTTGAATGAAGATCTCTGTCATCAAATCAAGTACGGTATTTCATAACGGTAAGAACTGCAAGAGAAGAGAAACGAGAAGGAACGTGTCAACATCCGGTTCGCGTGCCACGTGAGAACGCCGCTCCCGGGCGCAGCTGCGTGGGCGATGGGTCTGGACTCCTGGCCGAGAGGCAGACGACGGGCGGGAACGGGGAAGGGAGAACATCACAAAGCCACCTGCACGCTGGCATTTGGACCAGATTATGGCAGAACCTCGGCGTGTAGCTGCTAAAACACAGGGCCCAGCACAAATAACGCCCCTTCTTATGACATGAGAATCTTTTTATTACAAAAGCATAAGCCTGTGGTTCTGTAACAGCAGTATCACACTTCAACACACTGTATGCCATGGTAGGTGAAACATTCAAACTGCTGTCCACCTTGTGTGAGATGTCCCTGTACCCTACCCACCACTCTCAAGCCTTGCTGAATCCTGTATTTTAAAAATATTTAATAACATAAAAAGTACTTGTTTTTTTAAAAGATTTTATTTTTAGAGAGAGGAGAAGGGAGGGAGAGAAACACGGACCAACTGCCTCTCGCATGCCCCCATCTGGGGACCTGGCCCCCAACCCAGGCACGTGGCCTGATGGGGAATCAAACTGGTGACTTTGGTTCTCAGGGTGGTGCTCAGTCCACTGAGTCACACCATCCAGGGTGGGAAAACCTGATAGTGTATTAATAAGGAAGTTAAGTAAATGACCTTAGTTTTTGAAAACCATGTTTATATGATCACAGGAAAAGCCAGTATACATATAGTAGTTATAGTGACTACCTCTGTGCGGTAAGATCACAGTTGAATTCTTATTTATGCTATTGCACATTTTCCAGAGTGTCCACTGCAAGGAGAAGGTTCTGAGAGGTCCTCAGTTAAGTCACAGCAGAGTGGATGAGGAGGGAAGGGCAGTGCCGTCAGCTGACAGCTGCTGGTGGTTTGCAGGGCCCCAGGACGGTCTCTTTCTGGCATTTGGTTCAATAAACCCTTCCTTTGGGAAAAGCTTTCAGCTGCAAGTGTGTTTAACACATCTTGTCAGGAGCGAATTCGATCTTTCTGAGGCGCAGAAGGGGCCGGGACTCTCTGGAGATGAGTGTGGCACCCACACCGGTCCCACCGTGACCCCTCTCTGGCCCCTCGGAGGCTTGCACTGCACAGCCGCCTTTGAGGTCCAAGCGCACAGCTTCCCTGGGCCCAGGGGGCAACCCCTCCACAGGAATCTGTCAGAGGCTGTTGGGGACATGTGCCAGGGGCGGGGGGTCCTTCCAGTGTGGTACTGTGTGGAGGGCTAACCCTTGTCTGAGTGTCCGTAAGAGGCTGCCCAGGACACGTTTCATTGGTGCCAGGAGGGCGTTCCCTCGGCTGACTGGTGAGTTATGAGGGGACACCCTCAAGTCAGTTTTATTATTATTCTGGTATTTACCAGTACCGTCTTGGGTTCTGAGTTTCATTTTTTCTGGTAACTGAGCTTACAGTGACAACTCGTGGCCATCTGATGTAATTACAGTTTGGGTTCTCTGGCGGACCAATGCCAGAAAGATGTAGATTAGACTATAACTGAAATTACATATAGGATGGTGATGTGCACTCCAAAGAACAGAGACCGCTGTGCCTTCTGACCCACGCAGGGCGTTTCCAGGGGACTGGCAACCTCTGCAGAAGCGTCTGGACTCACTGTCTGAGATGCGTAGCTGTCTCGCAGGGGACCCTGCAGAAAACCAACCCCTCATTTCAGGGTTAGACGGAGCGTTTTTGGCTGGGCCACCCCAGTACCCCGTGTGACACAGTACTGAATACTGTGTGGGGCCCCAGCCCCGAGTCACATGGAAGAGCAGCCGCCAACCTCGGGAGCAGCACTCGCAAGTACATTTCAGACCCAAAACGATTTCTCGGCCTTCGTTGCCTGAGAACTAAACTTTCAAATTATGGGCAGTCAAAATGCCAAAATCTCCCCTGGCTGCTCTTCAGAAACCCGAGCCAGTGATTATATCTATATCTGTATCTATACCTATATCTATACCTGTATCTATATCTATGTCTATGAAATGTGGGGCTGAATCCGGTGTATCACAGGTGGCAAACACAAGGCCAGGGGCCGAATCCGCCTTCCACCTTATTTTACTGGCCTGGCACCTTGTTTCTACCCGATGGCAGCGCCGAGCTCCTACAGTCCTAGAATTACATCCGGCCCTTTGAAGGCAACTGGGAGGCTGATATGGCCCCAAGTGAAAATGAATTTGACACTTCTAGTGTATGGTTTTATCTTGTGGATTGTCCAAAAAGTCTGTTACGTTCTTTCCCTATAATGGCCCTAGTAGTGCTTAGCTGTCTCTGATTTCAATTGAAACAGTGTTGTTGGATTGTATTGTGACAGCTGTCCTATCGGCGTGCATGTGAAAAAATCTTATAAAAAAGCTGGCGAGCCCTGGCTGGTGTAGCTCAGTGGATTGAGCGCAGGCCTGCCAACCAGACATTTGCGGTTCGATTCCCAGTCAGGGCACATGCCTGGGTTGCAGGCCGGTTCCCTGCAGGCCAGTTCCCAGCAGGGGATGCACAAAAGGCAACCATACATTGATATTTCTCTCCCGCTCTCCTTCCCCTCCCCTCTAAAGATAAATAAATAAAATATATTTTTTTAAAAGCTGGTGAATTTTTGTGTAGCCATTTTAATATTGAAGATGGAAGAAAATGTGCGACATATTCAGTGTATTATGCTTTATTATTTCAATAAAGGTAAAAAACACCTGAAATGAAAAAAACCCCAAAACAGATTTGTGCAGTGTGTGGAGAAGGTGCTGTGACTGATCAAACGTGTCAAAAGTGGTTTGTGAAGTTCCTTGGCACTACTGACATCTTGGCCAAATAATTCTTTGCTGTGGGGCTGTCTTAGCACTGGAAGATGTTTAGCAGTGCCCCTGGCCTCTACCCACTGGAAGCCAATAGAGGGAGACAGCTGACATCCTCAAAATATCCAAATCAATAAAGTTACTGGTGAAAATGAAAAATACGTCTTTTATTTTAGGGGAAAAAACTAAATGAACTTTTTTACCAAGTAAATAAAAGGATCTCTGAAATATTTCTAAGAAAATTTCTTTCTTTACAAAAAGGGAAATTAAACTCACCAGGCATCTTTGATATGTTAAAATTACACGGGAGCCCTGACTGGCGTGGCTCAGTGGACTGAGTGCTGGCCTGTGAACCAAAGGGCCGCAGGTTCAACTGCTAGTCGGGGCACATGCCTGGGTTGCAGACCAGGTCCCCAGTGGGGGCCATGTGAGAGGCAACCACACATTCATGTTTCTCTCCCTCTCTTTCTTCCTCCCTTCCCCTCTCTGAAAATAAATAAAATCTTAAAAAAAAATCCTTTGTTTTTGAAATCCTTTGGCCATGCAAGTTTTTCTGTTAAACACCACCCTAGTTTATGTGGATTCTTGGTATTGGCAACTGTTCAGTTCTACAAAGTCACCACAAACACTGAAATCAGTGACTACTGCCCATGACTCCTCGGACATGCAGGGTTAAATTCCTGCGTGTGTCTGGGAACCGCATTCTGTCAACCAGTCAACACCTAACCTTGCTTAGCGTGCGTTTCTGTTTAAAGGCACCCTATGCAACACACACTGTTGACTCATTCGCGTCGACTTCCTAGCCAACAGCAGGTTAACTCGGGCCTCAGGGCAGCCCGAGGACCCGCCAGCCTCCCCCTCAAGGCCCAGCACAGCCCTGCACTCAGCCCTGCGGGAGGGGCTTCAGCCCTGCACTTGGGCGCCAGTGGGAACAGTGAAATCACCGGGGACACGCACAGAACTGAGAGAAGCGTGCACGGCCTAGACTGAGAGGGGGCCTGGGAGGCAGGGCGCAGCTGCGGCAGAGGTCAGCGGGGCTGGTGCCTGTCGGGGACACAGTGGCCGTGACAGCAGCCAAAGCTCGGCCAGGGCTCAAGGCAGTGTCGGCACTGGGGGTGGTGAACCCGCAAACCCAGAACCCACCAACACGGGTGAGGACAGGCCCCTTTTCTTTGTCACAAACCTCTTTTCTCTCTAAAAAGAGAATGTCCGCGTGGGCTTTTTTCGAATGGTTATTTTGAGACACTTTCCAAATTTTCATACAGTCCCTGTAAGCACAGGCAAAGAGGCCTTGGAGAGAAGATGTTAAAGAGGACCTTCCTTTAAAGGGAACACTAAGGATATTAAAGACTGAAATCAAGCTCAAATCCAAAATAAAAACGAGACAAAAACCTTCACCTGGGGAATTTATCTGGATCTGCCCTTCAAACACGATTTTAAGTGCAGGCTGCCACGCCTGAACGTTGACGATAAACGGAAAGTGAGCGACGTGGCCCTGGGGTAACAGCAGCCACGTCTGGCCACAAACAAAGTGCTTGGCCCTGCACTGACTTAGGAGCAACTTCAGAGAGCGGCCCGGTCTGGGCCAAGAGCTCCTGCCTCAGGTCCCAAGTCACTGGTCAATACCGACAGCCGGACCAGATCGAATGACGATAAATTAAAAGGGAATTAACAGCTCAGTAAATACTTACTGATGATCACCAACAAAAGGATAGCAGCAACCAAAGCCATGATGACCTTTATCTGCAACACACAAAAGGCAGAGGAAAGACATCAACACTGACTTTGACCTCACTCACATGACTGACCGTTGTGTCAGTTACCATGTCACACACTCTCCTCAGTGAACAGGCTCATCCCTGGAAAGGTTTTTAAACCTTTTTCACACGCACTTGCTGGCTGTGTGCGTCTTTTGTCAGTAACCGGGGCTCCCCAAGTCCGACGGTTCTGCCTGCCTGGGTTTCGCTGTTCAGGGCTCACAGCACAGTGAACAGCACCAACTGACCATGGCCTTCATGGACCTGGACGTTTTGTCTGTGGTTTTCTGCACTGACTTCCCATGAGAGACCAGCAGAAATACACTATTTTACCAACTCTGTTAAGAAGCATCCAACATAAAAGATTTAGTATACACAGCACAAGGCATTGTTTTTATAGCACTATGCTCAAAGTATACGAGAATTCTGTTAGATTCTGCTGTTCACACTTTCTTCTTGGTGGTTTCATCTCTCTTCTGTAGAAGAGAATTTAGACTCTTCGCGAACAAACTTACGCCCTAAAGGACTTGGCTGAGAGCACTGAGTGTCAGTTTCACAGCTGAGAGAAACCCTACGACCAGTCCCTAGTGGGCTGAGGAACATTTTAAGCTCACGTCATTTCTCTCTATAATGTCATCATATTCCTCATTTAATCCTAAAATGCATGAATTATGAATTGATTTGATTTTCCCAATGAATTCAAATGAAAGTCTTATCTTCATCAAAAAATTTCACATGGAATTGATTAAAGACAGTTCATTCAGAAAGAGAGGTTCCCAGTCACTGCAAAAGCGTGAACATTCTTCATCACAAACAGCAACCAGAAGCAGCCAGTGAACTGTTTGTAAAGCAGAACTACTGCTGACGTAGTAGTGGTCTTAACATTCAGGGCAGGACCAAGGTGACAGAGAGACATGGGGAAGCTTTGCAATAGAATATGGACACCGGGGACCTATTAAGGTTACTAATTTTATGATAACCCAAAACTGCAGAGACAGGAGATCCCATGGATATAGGAGGGACATCTCCGGTAAGTGCCTGGGTCCCCATTAGACTATAAACTAAAGTACTTTAGCAGCTGAAGTTACTTATAAGAGGTTTTAGATACCTCTTATAAGTTTAGAGGTAGCTAAATTATTAGTAAAATGTGAATAACCTCCTGTGAAGAAATGCATGAACCCATCCTTTTGGGCACTGCTTGATTTCTGCAGTTGCTTCTGTCTCCAAACCATGAATTCACCTGACAACTATTCACTGAGTCCCTGTCTGGCTGGGTGCAGAACGTCCGATGAGCAGCGAGGCGCTGTAACCGCCAGGCCCTTTCACGCCTGCGCACCGGGTGCTGGCTGTCCCCCCCCCCCCCCATTGGCTGCGTCTGATTTACTTACTTTGCATCCACGCCACCACATCTGCCTTCGAAGTTGTTTGGATCTGTTGCTAAAAGCAGTTGCGTTGTCCGATAAGCTTTCTGTATCACATAGGGGTGGAGAGAAGGATTAATCGACACGACAGGATTCTGTTATCTAGTCACATGAAGACAAGAAGATGTTAATTTCTACTTCTGCAAACGTATTCCCTTCTGAACATGGAAACCATACGGTCCCTTTCTTCCACCCGCGCCCTCTGACGTTCCGTGTGCTCAAGACCCTCAAGAGCAAAGTCGCTGCAGGTCAGCAGACTCCATCTATTTCTACGACAACATGAAGAAGTCTTCCCAGGGATGCAGGCCTTTCAAGCAAACTTATGAAGCCTGGTAAGAAAACAGTCTTTAAAAATTCAAGGACCTAGCACACACATAGAAAAAATTGACATGTGGAGGCTACATTCTTAGAAGACACCATGGATGACTGACTTAGAAGCAAAACAATATGAATTTTAAAAGTGGTTAAATAGGGTTTTTTGTTTAAAAAGTCTATCTCAAGGATTAATCAGATATTCAGCCATTCATCGGTGAAACCCTACTTGAGCGCCTGATACTCAACCTGGTACTCAATGACTTGAGCACCTGGCACGTGCCAGGAAATGCCACAAGCACAGACACTGACACCTGCCTGCAAAGGAAGGTCCCTGAGTTACCAGAGAAAGGAAAAGATAAAAGCATCAGGCGGGTCTGAATAAGTGCTGAAGGGGTCAGGCCTCTCCCCCTGGAGAATGAGAAATGCAAAGCACATCGACGTATTGGGGGAAAAGGAAAAACTCCACTCCAACTCTTCAACAGTGCATTTTTCAATTTCCCGTTCTCAACTGATCAGTTAAAGAAACAGTAAAACAGTAAGATGATGATTCAAAGTAAAGGCAGCTCCCGTTAAAATACTGAAGTTGCAAGTTAAATACCATTTTCCTAAGTCAAGGTCCCCAAACTTTGGCTAGAACAATGGGCATAGTATACTATCAAAATCCAGGTTAATAACATCAAGAAGCATATGAAATGTCTGTACCTGATTTGTCCTGTAGTTCATCAAGTCTCTCTCCTCTCTCAATGACCTTTGTAATATTTTCTTGCATGACATCAATAACTTCATCCACCTGATTCTGAACACTAGTTTAAAAAAAACCAAAGTATTTTTATTTTGAGGATTTAGAATCTTTGAAACTTTCACTGGACATGGTAGAAATAAGTAACATTTAACTTATAGTCTAGTGCAGCCCTGACCTACAAATCTAAGGGACTGGCTGAATGCTTGGTAACTGATGGCCAGTCTCTGTCATCAGCTTCATTTTCTTGTCTGCAGGGAGCTGAGGTGTCGCAGGGACCTGGCCGTGGGCCGAGCTCCGTGCATAGCTCCCACACCGGGACCCACAGAGGAGTCTGCCCACGTGTGCTGGAAGCTCCTGGAGGACACTCAGTTCCCAGGTGGGTGGCCGGTGCACTCCAGGATGCAGATGTGCCACCGGTACGACTCCCCACTGTTCTTCAGGTCCCCTCACACCGTATTTCACTCAACTGGAAACGCCTGGGGAGGTCTGAGGCCCCCGTGATAGAGCAAAGAGGAAAAACTTTTGGTTGTTCTTCAAGGTAAAAGTAGGATTTCCTTCTTTGTATCAGGTGACGAGGGCCCGTTCTACCCAAATTTCAGACTGTTCAGTGGAGATTTAATGTAGATTCAAAGCTTTAATAGTTGGTTTTCAGATGCCTACTTTCATTCCAGAATATATACACAGACATGTTTACTATTGTCTATTTTCCTCGTCTACTCCTATCACTGGACAGAACTACCTCGTATTAATTTATGGAATAAGTCATGGGAACACCTTGATTTCAAGCTTTCGAGACCCTGGGCAGAGAACCCACCTACACAGTGGCTGACCTCCTGACCTGTGGAAAATGTGAGATGATAAATGTGTCTCGTTCCAGGCTGCGAGGTCAGGATAATCTGTTACGCAGCAAAAGAAAATGGAAACATCTGTCTGGCCCTCGAATCGATGTGTTGGTACCTTGGTCCACTATTTCGGAATCCATGAGCTAGGATCCGGCTGCGTATAAACATCTCTCTTCACACCAACAGCTGCCTGAGCAAAGGCTGACTGCCTCACCAAACAGGCGATGCGCCCCCCAGGACCCTCCCCAGTGCCTGCCTTCTACGCCCAGGGTCAGGGCAGCGAGCCGCCCACCTGACACTTCAGCTGTTCTTCCGCAGCAGGTCTGCAGACCTCGGTCAGTTTCTAGGGCTAGTTCACTGCTGCACCCGTCCAGCCTCCCTTCCTGTGGGGACTCACATCCTTGGGCCGCCAGATACATTCACTGCAGTGTTATCCACCACCTACCACCAACAGCGTGCGCTGCAAGTTTTAAGCTGAAAATTAATCAGCCATAAAACCTAGATCACTATGTGGATTAGGATAGTGATAGACATGAAAAAATTCTGGAAGGATGCAAAAGACACATGAACTTCAAAAAACTAAATCTGCTGCATTGTTTTTTTTATCATCTGAAAATGGGACTCAAGCTATGGATTTAAAACCAAAGCAGACCTTCAGATGCTGCTACATAAATGGATGACATCAGGGAACCGCACTGATAACCACCAAGAGCTGGGAACTGCATTTCCTCAGCTAGAACTCAGAGATAATAAAAAGAATGACGGGGGCTCTAAAGCCCAGCAGTTACAGTTTGTCTGTATCAGGGCCCAGCACATTCTCTTCTATAAAGGGCCAGGCAGAGCACAGATACTTTAGATTTTGTGGGCCATCAGGTTCCTTAGCAAGTACTCCAACCTGCCATTGTAGTCTGAGGGCAGCCCTAGGTAGTAAGACAACACACAGGCCTGGCTGTGTTCCGATAAAACTTTACGTATAAAAACAGTGGCTCATGGGCGGAGTCTGCCCCCCTCCGGTCCACAGAGAAAAATGACAACTATTTAAACAAATGAGTATCTCAGAAACTTACTGCTTAATTTTATCATTCCTAGGTCCAAATCTTGGTCCAGATGGTCCCCTTCTGAAAGCAAAATACCGAGTGCATATGAATAACGAGAGCACTACAAACAGACACACACAGAGAACACGCACTCCATCCAGCTGAGCTGGAGGCGCGGAGCGGTTGCCACCGTGAGCAGCCCCGTCCCTCTGGTGCTGCCAGAACTGGAGGCCTCGCAGTCACGCCGGCCCTGCACTGGCACTTGACCCTGGCCATGACTAACCCGTCCCTTTTGAAAGGTGTAACTGCCTGAGAAATGAGGGTTCATGTGACCCTTAGTTACACACAGGATGTTCTACTGACCCAACTCTGAAATACCTTAACAGCCAAAGTGCCTGCAAGTATGAACAGCTTTACGAGAAAACTAAAGATATAATTCACTTTGATTTGGGGCTCCAATGAAGTGCTTGTTATCAGGGATGGACAGAGAAAAACCCTTTCAAAATAAACATTTGTAAGCATGTTTTTTGATGACTCATCTTAAACCAAATGACATGGCTAAAGGGAGATGCAGGCGTCTGAAAATATTGACACTTCTCAAATTACTGTTTTTCTATTACAGTTGAATGCTATCATTTCAACCTGTCCATTTAAAAATTCTAGAAAGAAAAAACACCTTTTATATATTTTAGGTAATTTATCCTTCTCAGGATAGAGAAGGAGGTATAAACTACGAAACTCAGAAGAAAATAGATTCTGTGCTAATTAAACATGAAGTCCCCAGCGTCCCCTCCTCGAAGCCCTTGGCAGCCCCCACCCCGCTGTGTGGCTCGGTAAACGTGACCACTCCGGGGGCCTCACGGGAGCGGAGTCACGCAGACGCCCTCCTTGCGTGAGCAGCGTCTCTCACTCAGTGTCATGCCTTCCCGGTTCATCCGGGCGGCGGCGTGTCTTGGAAGGCCCCTCCCTTTATAAGACTAACACCCACTGTGAGCATGCGTCTTGTCTCGTTTCTCTCTCCCCCCCATAGACGGACCCTTTGGTGCTTCCAACTGTTGGCTACTGTGAATATTGCTGCTATAAACATGGGGGTTGATTTTTAAAAATCACTTTAAGAACCTGATTTGGTGTGCCTCAACACCCGGACGGAATCACAGCGCTGTGAACAAGTGTGCCGGTTTCACCGCCAGGCCCTTTGGAAGCTGCACCCGGTGCTGGGGAGAGGGCCTCCCTCCAGGGCCCACTGTTGCCTGAGGAGGGGTGTTTCCCGCACGGGCATCGAGGTCACGTTCAGCAACCACGTGTCTAACCAAAGCATCTGGCCTTCTCCTCAGGACTAGCTCCTCTGACAGCCAGCTACCGCTGTAGACCAAGGCTTCTCCCTGCATAAAGCCCTGCCGGCAGCGACCTTTGTGACTCTGTGGAAGCTTGTCGCTTGTGGGTATCATCTTCCACTTCATCTCGCCTTTCTGTAGAAGATTTCCTGTACTTGGATTTGCTTTCTATTCTGTAGGTTCTTTTTGTTCATTGCTTCATGGGCATCAATTACTCTTCACAAAATGTTTTTACGTGGGGAGGAGAAGCCTCTGCAAAGCACTTCACAACATCACGACAAAGAGGGAGCTCAATGGTCCCTCTCAGGCCCGCCTCCACCTTCACCTCCAGAGCAAACTGCAGGAACGCGCTTCATTCCTGACTTTGCGAACACAGACCGAGACCTGTGAGGGCCCTGCCTACCCATGGCGCCGAACGACTCATCAGGCCAGTGAATTCTGACAAAGTACCAAGGCCATTCAATGGGGAAAGAACAATCCTTCCGTCAAACAGAGGTGGCTCAATTGGGAAGCCATACGCACCCCCCCAAAAATTACCCTTCACTTCATCATATACAACAATTAAAAAAATACTGACCTAAATGTAAAAACCAAAACGATAAAACCCCTAGAAAAGATATGCTGGGGAAAATCTTAGTGACGATGAAATCAAAGATTTCTTAAATAAGCAAAAATAATTTTAAAAAACAAGTTTATTCCATCAAAATCACAACTTTGATTTTCAAGAGAGACTGCAGTGGAAGATGAGAAGACCGAGTTGCACACTGGGAGACAGGGTCCCTGGGGAGGGCTGACGAGGATGCGGAGCACACAGGACTCGCCTACAGCGCCGGGGGGACGTGCGAGGAGGCGCCGCTTGGGAAATCGGCTGCACCCGTGAACCAGCCATTCTCCTCCCAAGTATTTACCCAAGAGAAATGATGGCAGGTGTCCACACAAAAAAAAACCTGTATGGAAATGTTTGTAGCCCCCTATTCACAAGAGCCGAAAACCAGAGCCACTCCGAATAGCCATCGATAAGCGAATGAATGAGTGAACTGCAGAATATTCACACGATGAGATGCTTCTCAGAGGCAAAAAGAAGCAAACATGCATGTGCCAGTGTGGACGATCTCCAAATAATCAGGCAGAGAGCACAAAGCCAGTAAAAAAAGGGGGACCAGCCCTGGCTGCTGTAGCTCAGTGGATTGAGTGCGGGCCTGCGAACCAGAGGATCGAGGTTGGATTCCCACTCAGGGTACCTGCCTGATTTGCAGGCCAGTTCCCAGCAGGGGATGCACGAGAGGCAACCATACACTGATATTTCTCTCCCTCTCTCCTTCCCTTCCCCTCTAAAGATAAATAAATAAAAAAAATTTTAAAAGGGGGCCCAATGTATGGCTCCACATAAAACAAAACTCTAGAAAATACACAGGACAGTGAGAGAGAGCAGATCAGTGGTTGCTCGGGGGGCTGGGAGCAGGACAGACCCTGAGGTGCACGGAGACGTCTGACACGGGGGCTGTGTTTATGATGTGACTGTGGCGATGGTATCACAGGTACTACATCCAAACTCACGCTGTGTGTTTTATATGTCAATTACAGCCCAGTAAAGATGTTAAAAAACTTACAGGAAAAAGTCCTCTTCTTCATCTGAATCATCTTCCAAAAGATTTCTCTGCCAAAAAAAAAAAAAAAACAGACTTGAGTTTCAGGTTCCCAGGGCTTACCCAGTGTCAGGAGGAGAATAAAACAAGTTCTGTCCTGGTGGGATTCCTGAACTCCAAGCCTCCAGGGGGGAGAGTAATTACATGTGTGTCATTAGAAGCTAAAAGATATGCAACCACATTTTCAGACTTTCCAAAGAAAATGCTTCTAGGAGCAGAATCCTATGACCCAGGTAGAAAAGTGGTGTGGGAAGAAGGAACGGTGGGCAATCGGGGGAGCAAGTCCCTTCACTTTCCTCTGCCTTCCAGTTGCTCTCTATTCAACTTAACAGATGGACCTGAGCATCTTCTATGTGCTAAGCATTGTTCTAAGTACCAAGTGCCAGCTTTGAACACTACGGACAGGCCTGAGCTCTCACAGGAAAACATCTGGTGGGGATAAATGCTATGCAGAAAACTCCGAGTGATGGGACGGCAGGGGACTGGGTTACTAAATGAGATGAGACTGCCACGGAAATCACTCCCCAGAGGTGAAACTGAAGCTGAGATCCAACTGGTAACAAAGAGCCAGCCAGAGATGAGGGCAAAGAGCACCTGCTGCCACAGAGAGGTCAGCGGCGGAAAAGCCCCGGAGTCAGAACCACCAGACAAATGTGGGGGGTCTGACTTCTCCTTTTAAAAACAAAACCCAGACGTGACTGGAGTTCAAATTTTCCAGCCAATATCTGTTTACAGGAAATCCACCTAAAACAAATGTCAACTGAAAGGTGGGAAAAGAGCAGTGGGAGAGATACATCAGCAAATTCTAACAAATAGGATGTTAGAATTAGCAATATTAATATAAAGAGGAATTTGAGGACAAAGGTATTAAACAATTGAATAAAAAGATTTTACAACGATGAAAAGCACAATTCACCAAGTAGATTTACCAGAAGTGAATGTTTATATAATAATATGGCTTCAAAATATATTAAGCAAAAGCTACTTAAATTATAAGAAGAAATGAAAACACTCAAAATTATAGGAAGATTTTAACATATTGTTCAGAGATGGAGAAACCAAGAAGACAAAAAACAAATAATATAGAACTTTGTACTCAGCAAATTTTATTTTCTTGGAAATATCTAAGAAAAAGGATAAATCACAAAAAAACTTTGAATACATTCTAAAAACTAAAGAGGTCACATTTTTCTGGGCATAATGCAATGGAAATCAGAACAAATAACAAAAGGAAATTTTAAAACATTTTTCTAAGTGACACATTAAAATGGAAGTTGAACAGACAAGTTAGAAACGAATGATTCTGGGAACATCACAGAACAAAATTGCAGGGTATGTTACAGGAATACTTAAAAGAAAATGTAATCTCCAATGCATTTATTTATGAAATAACAAAGACTGAAATATATGAAATAGGCAACTTAAGATGGGTAAGTTATTCCTCAGCAACATACAACCCTGGAAGTGTTAAAGATAAAGATGAATGGATTTGGTTACATAAGCATTTAAAATATGAAGAAGACATCATAAACGAGGTTAAATAGCAACAGATTAGAAAAAAATAAAAATCTGCAACATACTCCCAGATCATAGGTCTGATATCTATGTTATATAAGAGCTCTGGCAAACCTGTAATAAAAAGACACGTCACAGAAAATCTTCAAAGGAAAGATTGACAATTCCCGAAAGATGAAGAAATATCAATGGCTACATGAAAAGATGTTCTAAATCAATAAACCCTATGCAGGGAGATGCTTTAATTCCTTCAATAAATACTTCTAGAATGCTATTCCAGCTAATAAGTAACAGATAATCGTTACATTTGTGACAGTTTATTTGCCTTAGCGGATGATGACAGTGAAGATAAAGCCTCTGTATTATAGCTGTACAATGAGAGACACACACGCAATGTTTTCACACCCATTCACTGAACAAACTCAAGTGCTGGAAACACAACATCAGAAAAGTTTGATGGGACACAATGAGAGGGGACACACCCCTTCACACCCACTTGGCAGATAATTAGTGTTGGTGCAAAGGAGTGGGTGGTGGTGAGAAATGTGGAGAAACTGGCACACACGCACACTGCTGGTGGGAATGTTGAAACTGCAGCCACTCTGGAAAACAGGTTGGCGGTTCTGCAAACACTGAGCGCAGAGTAACCCCATTAGCAGAATTCAGCAATTCCCCTCCCCTTGGGTATTTACCCAAGGTAAACGAAAACATATGTTCACAGGGAAACTTGTACATGGGTGTTCACAGCAGTGGCATTCATAATGGCCAAGAAGTAGAAAGAACCCCAATGTCCATCAACTGATGAAAGGGTAAAGAAAATGTGGTATACCCACATAAAAATATTATTCAGCAGTGAAAAGGAATGAAGATGGATAAACTCTGAGAACATTCTAAGCCAAAGAAGCCAGTTACAAAAGACAACACATTGTACAATTCCATTTCCATAAAATGTCTGGAATAGACAAATCTATAGATCTGTGATTGCCTAGGGTTGAAGGGATGAGGAGACTGGGGGAGTGACTGCTAAAAGCTACAGGAGGTCTTGCTGGGGTGATGAAACTGTCCTAAATTGATTGTGGTGAGGGCTGCACCATTCTGAATTGTATGCCTCAAACAAGAGACAAAAATACAATAGGAGACCTCAGAAAACCAATGAGGATATATCAGCCTTAAATGAAACATCAGACCAGAAGAACTTAACTGACATCTATGAACTTTCCATCCCAAAATGAGAGAATGCACATTCTCAAGTGCACATGGAACATTCGTAAGGATGGACCATATGCTGGGACACAAAACAAGCCTCGATAAATTTCAGAAGGCTGAAATCATCACATCAAGCATACTTTCTGAGCACAATGGTATAAAAACTGGAAATGTGGAGTATATAGATATCAAATCATAAAGTTGTATATTTGAAATTTATAGAGAGATTTTGTGAGCTTGGAGCCAAAACTCATTTGGATGAAAAACTGACCCGAACTGATGTTAGCTAATTTACTTATGTACACATTTTTTTCCTTCTATACTTAGAACGATCAGGTGCTGAAATGAGAAGTATCAATGTTCGGAGGTGCTGCTCCAGACTTCCAAAATGCTGTTGTCCAAGATGTACTTACAACCCTGTCTAAAATCTGAAACATTCTAAGTTACGACCACATTTGGCTCTGGGGTTCTGAATAAGACATCACATGTTTGTATAAAATTCCCTTTGAGACTAGAAAGAAGCTGGGCTCAGATTCCAGCTGAGTCACCAATTCAAGTCGCACATACTTTTTAATGTTTACTATGATGGAAGTGGAATTAGAACACAGCCAGAACCCTTCAAGCCTTCTAAAATTACAAAGGGAATGAAAATGCATTTTCCCTCTTTCTTTTCTAAAGCTTAAGACTCTGAACTTACCCTTTCACTCTTCACAGAACCAGTGACATCGTCATCGTTCAGGTGGCGCTTGAACTTGGGAGGCATATTTTTCGATCTAGGAGTGCTCTTCTACTGCCCAGCAGAGTCAAGAACTCACCGCCTTAAAGAGACGATAGATTTCATCAGGTTTGGAACTTCCGGAAATGAGGTAAAGCACCTGCAACAGAGTAAAAGGCTCTGGGTGAAGGGGCCTCCTTCACGTCTGAGTTCAAACCACTCCCTTCTCACTTGCTCCCTCCAGGGACCTCACACTGGGCTTTCACACACAGGACATAGTATAAATCACGAGAAAATAGATGAAACTTTCTTAGGAGAACATGTGGAGGAAATCAGTGATGAAGTTTTCATAAGATTAAAAAGCAGATTACACAGGAGGGGGAAACAGGAGGTGCTTCCCTGAACACAAGGCACGAAATGCTTTAGGGTTTGAACTTGGAGTTAGAAGACAGTGCAACCCTTCTAGTGCTCACTTTAGGTGGGCTGCTTGGATGATACGGCTGTGTCATGTATAAAGTGGTGCTTGCCAGGCTTCTGCATGGATTTGGGAGGGTCTAATCAGGTAATAGATGCAAACACGTTCTCTAAACTGTAACATCCTGTTCTGAGGCATGGTGCTGGTATTCCAAGGAAAGGGATGTTTGGTCAGTACTGTTCAACAAACCAGTTTCTTTCCCCCCTGCAGAAACTCTCCTGCCTTTTATATGCTAATATGCATTGGGATTTTCCAGGAAAATGGTTGGGTATGCAACAGACTCAAAATTTTCTTGAGAAAAAGCTGACATATGTAGACATGAGTTTTCAGTATCTTGAACTAGAAGATGGGTGAATAATGAGAATAGCTAAGGTTTTACTCTGTGCTCGACACTGAACTCGGGGATTTGTGTGCATTTTCTGTTACTCCTCAGAAGTAGGCACCAGAAAACTAAAAGCAAGCTAAGGCTTAGTAAAGATAGGTAGTAAGATAGGTAATTAACAGCGTTAGCCACTCTGCTCATGGAAAGAGCAGAAACACAGGCCTAGATTAATCCATGGCTGTGCATGGTCAGTTGTGACATTTATTCTGTTAGCTTCTCTTCAGGTTGCTAAGTTGTGTTCTGGAAAGCCCACCTCTCTGTAACAACCCAGCAGCCCTCCTTCCCCTTCCACAGGAAGAAACCGAAGATGATCTAAAAATTAGGTAGAGCTAGACATCAGTTGGTTGGTTAATGTTACAAAAATCAACAAGCCCAGCACCCAGTTGCATAAACCAAAGTAATATTTTAAGTTGGCTCTCTGTCAAAACAAAATGATCGACACTTTTCTTTGATAAAAAATGCTCCCAAACAAAAAACTTGACCACATGTAATCAAAAACAAACTCTTGCCACCTGAGTAAACAACTCGAGTTTATTCAACAGTAATTCTGTCACATACAACTGGGCCATTTCATTCCTAACTTTGATTTCAGAATAATTCATTCATTCAGAAATGTTACAGAATGAATGGAAAAACAAGTGACAAAGGAAGCAATGAAGAACTGAGTTTTTCTTTTCATTATACCTGAGTTTGTTCACATGGTAACCTCTACAAAAGGGGGGGGGCTACCTCAACATCCCAAAGCAAGTAACAGCCAGGCTTACATAATATCTTTGTAAAAAGATACAACAAAGCTACAAGCTTAACGGTGAGCGAGACCCATGTGGAGCTCCCATAATCCAAGGTCAGCCTCAGGAAAGCAAGAAACCAGCGTCTAACAAACAGAAAAGCCAGCAGCAGGCAGATTAATAAACTATGCATAATGAACCAATAGGCAAGTGATGGTATTTGTACCAAACAACTCAGAAAAAAAACGTTTAGAAATCAGACTTATCCACATTTTATCTAAAATGACTTGTGCAAAGAGCACATATGCATTCAGGTGTTTGTGTATGGGTCTATGTGTAAACAAGAGTCTTCATGATATATTGCAGTACGGAGGGCAGAACGGCGGTGCACAATTCACCGCCTAAAATCGTCATCGCCGTCTGCTTCTCACGTCATCCTCCTGCATTTACAACGCGATCTCTGTATTTTTGGAAGACGCAGTACCTTCTGTGTTCAGGGGCTTTATATGTAACACGCTTCTAACCTGTTGTTAAAAGTAACAGAAAACCCTGTGTCTCATTTCGCACAGGCTTGCACACGGGAAAAGGCTTTCCTTGTTCCTGCCTCCTCCCCCTTTCCGATTCTACTTCCCCAACCTTGCCCGCAGTCGCGGCGGGTGCAGTTTCCGGAAATCAGTGACTAGAATCAGGCGCAGCCCGGAGAGGCTGCCCAAAAGCTGCCAGTGCGAAGACTGCCGCACCTGCCGGTCCTTCGAACCGAGCCTTTTAACTCCTGACACAAGCACAGCCCTGTGGCCAGAGACTCCTCCCCACCACCCACCCATCTGTCGCACCAGGTCTGCTCCCAACTCCCGTCTCTTTGGCCCCACGACACCCGCCCCCGCCCGCACACCAGTCCTCGTCGCCCTTCCTCCCGGCGCCCCGCCCGACCCCAGTCTCCTCCCGCCCGGGGCTCCCTCCTCTGGCCGGTCCCGCAGCCTGACGTTGACGTTGCGGGGCCGGGGCGTCGTCTCCGTTTCCTTCCTCCTCACTAGCCCCCTCCGCCCCGCGACCGGGCGGGCGCAAGTACCTGAGTCTCCCGGGGAGGTCTTGGGCGGCTGGAGGGAAAGGGCGAGGAGGGGAGGCAGACGACGGAGAGCGGAGGCAGTGGGCGCCCACCCGGCGTCGGCCGCTGCGCCGCAGCTGCGCCCCCGCTCATCGAGCTTGTCAGCGCTCCGCAGCCTTGGCCAGGAGGGGCGGGGCCAATCAGGAGGCGGGGCCAGGCGGCGGTGATCGCCGAAGGAGTCGATTCCACTCTCAGCTCTCTACCGGGAGAGGTCCTGGCAGCGACCAAGTCCGGACAGGGATCCCCTGGGTTGTATTGTGGTTTGAGGGAGGAACTACAGATTCTCAAGCAGGCCGGGCGTGCGCTGAGGACGTTCGGGGAAGGCGGAGGCAACTCTGGGAAAGTCACTCGGGCGGGCTAGTAAGACCTTTCCAGGAGACATGAGGATGGGAGGCTGGAAGCCCGAGAGGGGCTTCGGATCAGCTAGGGAATTTCTGAAGGGACGTGTGTGGTCAGAATTAGATTTGGTGGGAGAGAGGGTTTCTAATGCGAGCTCCTCGTTTTAGACATTAGGAGTCTCCGGTTCAGCGTTGAGAGGTGGCACAGCTAGTTTGGGACGAGGACGCAGTGTTCCTTCCCCTGCATACTTTAGAGTTCTAACCTAAAATAACTGGTCCAGACACTAGGCAGACACTGGACCCTCAGGCTTTGGGAGGGAAGTCACCGTCGCAAGGCCACTCCACTGTCCTATCTGGAGTGGGGGAAGCACCCCACGCCTCCCCCGCCAAGTCAGTGTCACTTTAAGGCTGCTGTAGCTGGGCGCAGCGGTCCAACATTTGTTTTGTCTATCCATTCCTCCCACACGCCCCAGTTGCATTGTTTTACTCATTACCCCCCCCCCCCCATTTGTTTGCTACAAGTCTTTTACTTTATTTATGGGTCCTCTGTTGATAAGTGCTTTAACTTGGTGCACGTTTAAATCAAACCCCACACGGTAACTAATTGAAAGATACTTTGACAAGGACACTCTCAAGTTAATGTTGTAGAGTCGAATCACCTGAAAAGTTTTAAAAACGACTGATTTAATTGGCCTGGGATGTGAATTGAAGCTTCTAAAAGCCTGGGTGTAGATTCCTGATGGTCAGTCTACTGCCTCGGCTTGACGGTGAGCCTGCCCCAGACTCTACAGGTGACCCAGAAATGATTTTTTTCTGAAATGATCAACCTGCAGTTGATTTTATACCTGTATAACTGCTCGTTATGGGGTGCTTCCCTGCTTTGGTGTCTCAGCCAATGAGAGCTTTCACCCGTTACAACCTCAGCTTTTCTTACACAACTGAAGGCAATATGATTACTGAGTTCCACTGCCATGTCGCTGAAAAGCTTCCATGAATATACCATTGTTTTTTTTTAAACCATATTTTTTTTTAGTTCTACCACCCATTTTGGTATAATTGCTTGGAGGGAGGGTAATGTAAGTCCCACCCTTGAATAACCTGAACAAAGTCCCTTTCACTATGCTCAACATTCCTGAAAGCTTAAAAAATGTCGTTTTACAGTTAATATAAATCAGCTATATGAGTAAGCCTGAAAGAATATAAATAACACCGGACTTAGAGTCAGAACAGGGTTTGGGTCTTGAAGGATTTATTCTCCGAGGACAGCAAATACTGTTTACCATCTTTATATGCCCAGGTATTTTAACAGAATGCCTGTCACATATCTTATGGGTGAATTTATTCACTTTGATATATTACCATCTTCAGCAAGTAACTGAAGTTGTACCTTGGGTGGAGGGTGGAGCACCCGATTTTTATGTATTAAATGCTGTTTTAAACTTTTGTTTTGGTGGTAGAAAATTGTTTTATTATGGGCTAAGGATAAAGAACATCCAATCAAATGGGATACATGAGATGCTTGTGGTAGATGAGCTGAGTGCTAGGATTCAGGAGAAACACAACTTGTTTTCCAGGGTGTTTTTTTTCCTAGGAAGGAACTGAAGTTTTTCATTAAATGATGGAGAAAAACATTGTAATCTTTCCCAGTATCCAGGCTGTGAAAAACAAAGACAGGATCCCGAGGAGGCCTTGTGACAGTCCTCATGTAGAGGTCTGATGCACCAGGCACTGGCCGTCGCCCTTGGAAACACTCCCTCACTTTTCCTGGCATTTTAATTTCACAGTGTTATTGCCCACTGGTCCCAAAGGCACATAGCTTGTCATGTACACCGTGCCCTTAGCTTTCCCCATAAAAGTGGCTGTTACCGCCTTGCAGTGCATGTCTGTCAGGAAACCAGTGTGCATGCAGGTGTGCATATGACAACAGGAAACTGCTGAATGGAGAAAATCCTGGGCATCAAATAGCACACTCAGATGAGGCCTGAATTCACTCAGTCACATGACTTTTTCTTTCTTTTTGATGAATTGGAGTTTGGCCTTAGTTATGAGTTTGTCCATCCCACGAATTCAGAGTAACGTATGAGGAAATTAATTGGCCAATCTGAGTGCTATACAAACTAAAATATACTATTATAATTATAGTATTACTATGCTGTTATAATCATGTCACCCATTGGGACCCTGCATGATGCAGCAGCTGAAGCCACCTCAGACGCTCCTTCCAGTGCTCCTTCCCTTGGGTGGAGAGGAAATAATGTGAGCCTAGTGAGTGGTTCACAAAAATAGATTTTTCTCTGATGTTATTTGTGGAGGGCTTTTAGAGTAACCTTTTAAAATCATGGAGTTGGAACCATATCCATTCTAACGTATCTCAATATTTTAAAACAGTGGCTCTCCCTGGACCAACATCATCAGCGCGACCTGGGAATTTGTTAGGAATGCGAGTGCTTGGGGCCCACTATAGGCCTGGCGAGTCAGAAGCTCTGGGGCTGAGGCTCAGCAATGTGTGATTTAGTAAGTCCTCCAGGTGATCCCGGTGCACACCAAAGTTTAGAACTACTCTTAAACCAAAGTTGAAGTCCACTTTGACCTATTTAATAGTTAGCCGGCTACTTGGCTGTCTATGCTAATGAGGTCCCAGACCACAGCTGCTCAATTCCAAGCCTACCTGCCCTCTTTGGTCTGTATACGTCTCCTGTGATTTATGGTGTGTTGGGAACCGCCCTGCCTGGTTTCAGAAGCTGTAAATCCCCCCCCCCCCCATTGGCTAAGGCTGAGAGACCTTGGGACCCTAAGCCACTAAGGAGATAAAGCTTATCTTCCTTATAGGAAGTGCTGCCTCTGTCCCCTTTCATTTCACCCTGCCTGGCCCCAAGTGGATGACTGGTTAGTCAATGACGGGTAAGATTCCTCAAGGGAGGGATGACCTAAGACAGACATGGTCATGAAGGGGCCCCAGGGAAGGACTTGGGGGGCTATTGCAAAAGGGGGTGATGGACCCTCACCCTTCAGCTTTGACATAGCCTGAGTCCTCATTCTGTCTGCAAGAAGTCTCCTAATCTCTTGGCTGGTTACTTCCCCAGCCTGACTTAAGCCTGAAACAATGCCGGAGGTGGAAAGGGCGGGTTCCCTAGGGCAATCAGGCCTAAGAAAGAATGCATAAAATCCTGTGAAACCTGCTTTGCTAATACCCTCAAGTTAAATTATAAAGGTCCAAGCAAGAAATGAGTTTGTTCCCCAAAGTTTTATGGCCTTTTAGCTATTTGACTCTGACTCAGAATAAGCCCTCAGAGTTCTTGAAATGTTAACTATAGTTTGATCATTACTGCCTGACAATGACCGATGAGCTTTATGTAAATGCCGTGCATTCCTATGCAAAAAAAAAACCCCACCAAAAACAACAATAAAAGCCCATTGAGGAACAGGCTCCTGGCCCTTCTCCTTTGAGAGATCTGCCTCCTTTCCTCCCCTAGCAGATCAGGGCATGGTAGACTTATTCTCATGGGGTGGGGGGGCAGGGGCCGTCTGGGTGGAGCCCCCCTCCCCCAATGGTGCTTCCTTATGGCATTAGGGTAAGATTTAAGGGACTTACTTAAAACATTAGGATAAGATGAGCAACTAAAGTACACGAGAATTAAACACAAAAAAGGAATAGCAACTATCTATAGATGACATCAGAATGACAACCCAAGGAGGCTGATTATGAAAACGGGTCTTAAGCTTTACTGGGAGTGGAGGAGAGGAGGGACCTCTGAATACCTAGTTGTTATTCCCTTCTGTTGAATTTTCATGTTCTTACATTATTAACGGTGGAATCCTGTGTTTTGATGCATATTTTTCTCCAAATTAAACCTGAATTATACAGGAGATTACTAAGGAGGACATGCGGAAGACAAATGACTAGAACGCCCATTTCCCTTATGCTGGAGCGGATCTCTTCATCCCTTACCTCACTTCTTTCTACGGCTTTGCGCCCTGCGCCGCCCGCCCCCCCCCCCCCCCCCCCCCCCCCCAGGCAACTGCGGTTAGAGTTCAGCCCCATGTGACTCAAGACCACAAGTGTGGAGGAGCGAAACCAGAATCCCGGAAGCCAGTCTTCTTCCGGGTTCGGACGGACTCCAGGCCGGCTCCCGGGCAACTGTCCACTTCCGCCCGGCCAGCGGGCCCGCCCCCTGCCGCTTCCCGCAAATAAACGCTCAGCGCCTGCGTGAGGCTAGCCAGTTTCAGCCAATGAGGTGCCAGGAATGAAAATCAGTGAGCGAAGAGACGCTACTGTGAGTGAGTGACCAATCGCGAAGCGTCGCAACCGGATGTGATTGTCGGCTCTAAAATCGACTTCTGTGAAAGTGAGGGGTTCCCCACGTGGGAAGCGGCTGTGGACGCGGGGTAGAGGAGGAGAGTCTGTCAGGTTCGGTGTCTCGCGCGTATGCTTGGCATATAGAGGTCATTCGTTTGGGTTTTTGAGTGGGAGAAAAATAAACGGGGCTGCTTGTCTGTGGGAAGAAGTCCCACTGAAGTGTCCCGGAGCCAGCATAGGGGAAAGCCCCTCCGATGGTACCGCCCTTAAAGGGGGTGGGACGGTCCTGAAGACTGAAGACGCAGCTGCGGTGTAGGAATATGAATCTCTTACCCAAGAGCTCCAAGGAGTTTGGCTCCGTTGACTACTGGGAGAAGTTCTTCCAGCAGCGTGGGAAGAAAGCTTTCGAATGGTATGGAACTTACTTGGAACTGTGCGGGGTGCTGCACAAGTACATCAAGCCCCGGGAAAAGGTAAGCGCGGCC